CCCACTGTATAGCCAAGGAACACCCCAGGCATTATAGCTGATGGGGACCAGCCTCTCAGACCAGGCAGCCGTCACCCAGATGGAGGCTGTTATGATAATGGGAACCGGGAGAAACAGAGCTTGAGCAGAGCTCACCATCCCAGCTCCTGGGTAAATCATTCAAAGCCCCACGCTCCTCCTATCTGCACGAGGGCTCTGCGATTTGCAAACTGTCCCCTAGTCTCCTTTGGAGAAAGTCAGTCTCCACCTCTTCTCACCACTATTGTGGGCTGCACTAAACCCCCAGCTCTTCGGAGAGCACTGCCCTCCCTCAACGTGAGTTCGCACTGCTATTTTATGACCAACTATGAGGAAGTAAGTTGGCCAAAGTCCTCACTACAATGGAATGAGAGATCCAGGGACAGCAGATATGACAAGCCAGTCCTGCAACCCTCCCCACATGAAGCAGCCACATGAGCACTCAGGCTGGGGTTCAGGCCACCGAAGCTTTCATGGACCCCCTTCCACCTCAGGCCAATGGAGTCTAGAAGCACACTTCCTGGGGGCCCCTTCCAAAAAGCTAACCTCCTGGTGACATGCCTATTCCATCCTCAGAAGCCCAGCTTAGAGGGACAGAGAGAAGCAGAGAGGAAGGAAGACCGCGTGTCAAACACCACAGAAGCTTCCAGAAGCACAGAGCCTTAATTATGTCCTTAGTTAAGTTCAGCACCTGCAAAGTTGACTCTGGAATTTGACCCTGTCTTCCTGACGATCTCTCCCACCTTTCCTGGACTTCTTTCTCTTTAGCCTCCTGCAAACTCCAAGCTTCTTGAAGATTTGAGCTCACGGAGATACCTGCCAAAGCTAAAGGGAAAATTGCTGCCCTGACTCGGGAGTACAGGAAAGACCCAGCAGAGTGCACCAAATATGCAAATGTGAACCCCCCACGTCCATTCCCTGGTGCTGTTGCTTCCTCTGTCATGAGGAGGAAAGGGTGGGACACACCAGGGACAGCCACAGGCGTAGGGACTGAGATGCCCGAGCCGACACCTGACTTCCATCCCCAACTTCCATTTGAGGTGGAGCCTTTGCTAAAAGGCACCCAGCTCTCAGCTGGTCCTAGCCGTGGGTAGCCAGCAGCTTTGGGAGCAATCCAACCAGCGGGGAGTCTTACAAAGCATTTAAATTTGGACTGAGAATATAGGATAGAAATCAGGCCTTCTAAAAAATGGTTGGTTGCTTGTGTGACACTAGATTCACGTCCTTAATCGGGTTTTACTTAAAGCACTCTGTGTGCATTCCCTCAAGGGGCAGCAACTGGCTGGGAGGCAGGACTTCCAGGCAGGGGCCCAGCAAAGGAAAGGAGTGTGCCTGGGGCTGAACACCCAACAGCAAGCAAGATGCCAAGAGCAAGGAAAAAGTGGCTCATTTTAAGAGACAAGTCTAGGTCTGGCCTTGACTTTCTGACCCGCCCCTGGCAAAGCCACTGGGGATGGAAGGACAGGGAGGTCTGTGGATGTTGGGAGCATCTTCACTCTGGTTTGGGGCCCAGGCCCCTGCAGTTTCCTGAGCCATCATGGCTTTCAAGAGAAAGGAGCTGAATCTAGAGAACCTAGGGGCTGGGAGCAGGGGAGGCTGGGCTAAGGGGCTGCCTGTGTGGACTTGCTCCAAAGGAATGGGCACGGCGCAGGCATTAGGCTTCTGGTTGTCTCAGGCCTTCCACACCACGTTTCTGGTGGGAGGAAGGTGAGTAAGTAGAAGCCCTCTGAGATTCTCCGTCTTAATCAGAGTTCTGCTTAACAACGAGGGGCCCATCTTTCCGTTTTAAACCTTAGGGTTACTTCTCTGAAATCTGGAGGTGGGAGAAAGAAGAGGGTAGGGGAAGAGGCTTCTTGAAGGCTACTGAGGGGTACTGGTGCAGCCTAGGGAAAAGTGATGACATCTCTTGTTTGTGTCTATTAATTTGCAGCTCTGGGGCAGGGAAATGGATTGGAGTATATGTGCACGCTCTGTGTGAATTAAGAGTGGACATGCTTGGGTGGGTGTGCTGTATTTTCTGTGTCTCATGTGAGTAAATGCATTGTGTGTATAAACTGAGTTTGTGTGTATCTTGTGGGCAGAAACAATACAAAGTGTCCTTGGTATATTTCGCATACATACCCATTGAGTTGGTGTGGTTTTTTAAGCATCTTGCATTGGAGTTGCAGGTATGTTATTGTACATGGTGTATGTAGGTCTTTTGTGTTGTGTTCTGTGTTGGTGAGCGCACTCCAGGTCTGTGCTGAGTGTGCCTGCTTTGGACGTGGGTGTAGTTATGGATCATCAGTGTGTGCGCCCTTTTAATCAATTGGTGTGTGTGCCTTTTGTATTGGCGTGTGGCAACAGTGCATCTACCTATTTTGGGGTGTGCGTGTGTGTGTGTGTGCATGTGTGCCTGCACCTGTGAATATTTTATATTCCCAGGCCAAAGACACTGGGATAAAAGATCTACCTCCTGGTGGAGGCCTTAGGTATGGATTGTTTTACCCTCTGTTTCCCTAGGTCTGTGTCTTCCCTACCCCATATCTTGGGAATTCAGCACCAGCTCCCAGGAAGGAGAGGAAGAAAGCATAGAGGCTTCGCGCTGGGCATGGGGTGTCCTGCAGATACCTGGAGATGTGGGTGACCAGGAACTAATGAGCACCCTGGGCCTAGCACCCTGAGCTGGTGCCCCACCCCCCCCAGGTAACTGCAGGTGCTCAATAGCCAACAGTGAAGCTAGGGCTGGAGCCGCGACTGGGCGGCCTGACCACACAACTCACCGTGTTTGGGAAATTCAAGCCATTGGGTTGAAAGGATAGAAGGCCAGTCTGTGAGGCGAAAGCCTCCCCACCTCCACCCATTCCAGGGCCAGCCTCAACTCTATGTTTAGGCCCAGTGGTGCTCATTCACTCTCAGTCTGTCAGGTGGGGAATGAGTCTCTCTCCATCCCCTTGGTTTGTTTAAGCAGCTCTGGTTTGCCAGTTCAATGGGGAGAGAGGTTGAGCCTGGCAGTCGTGGATGTCTAGGGTCTCCATGCCTTGGTCCCGGACTTCAAAAATGTCCATGTAGAGCAAGCTCCTTTCAAGTCCACACTTGCGGCCTTTCGGGCCCCCAGGAGCCCTCCGCTCCTCCTAGTGTCCATGCTTTGAAGCAGGTGATCCGTTCTGGCTCTTTAGGGAAAGGTTCATTAAAGTGACTGATGCAGAGCCAAGTGACGATAAAGACCAAAGAGGGTGGGGAAAGATGACAACAGATATGATTTACATGATGTGCTGTAGAGAGAAGGCCTGGGGCGGGTCTGGCCCAGGGCAGCTGGAGCTGGGAGGGCCGCGGGCCCTTGTGCACTCGGTAAGACAAGCTTCAGCCCTGGGAAACTGAAGCCGCAGCACATGGAGGGCAGAAAGACAACTGTAACATCTATGAATCCGTGAAGACTGGAGTGTCTGAGGCAATGACAGCAAACCCAGGCCCAGTCGGGTTACCGATGAGATAAATTAACCCATCGGGCCTCTCAGACAACCAAGCCACCAAGCAGTGGATTTGCTCCTGAACCTGAACTCCAGAGAATGAATATGTGTGTGTGTGTGTGTGTGTGTGCATATAAACATATGCACACACATCTGTATGTATGTATATAATACATAATATATACATACATACTCTAGTGCACATAGTCAAACACATGCATAAATTGCCCTGTGTCAAAAATATTGCATAAGCTTATACAAGGTTCAAATGCAATTTTTTTTTTCCTATAGCTAGCTAGGTAGAGGAACTTGTGAAAGAGATACTCAATATATATTTATATACACTGGATCCACAAATCCACCTGTCCTCGGGACCAGGTGCCCTGGTCAGCTATAGAGTCATGCCCATGAATAGGTTAATTCCTAAGGTGCAATTATGTGAGGTGTTCAGGCGCTGCGTTCCCTGCTCACCTTCCTGGCTTTGCAGAGGTCTGTGCCCCCGCTTGGAAGAACAGGGATGGGGTGGGCCGGAGAGCCAGAAGTTTTGGTTCCCCGTGCCAAACAGTCTTTTTTTTTTCTCCTGATTGAGGGCTTTTGTCCTCCAATGGGGGAAAAACAAACCCTAGTTCAATGCCACTCCGGGGCTATTAATACTCTAAATATGAATACTGTGTAGGCTACTAAGAAAATAGGTTATCTCCTGTGTTTTAAATATTGAGATTCATGCAAGAAACACCCATGCAGCTCTATTGCATCACTGGTAATTTCACTGTGGTGTCAGTGCCGCTGGCACAGGACTAGGAAAGCAGATGTCTGCAAACTCCAGTGTAACGAAGAAATCAGACGTGTTTTGTGACCCTGAAGCCTGCAAAAATGGTGCGATCTGAAACGGAGAGGTCCCTTGGTTTGCTAGCTTCTCCCCATAGGCCTAAGAGCAAATGTGAAACTTGACAGCTCACATTGGGTCATACTAACCGCCCCTCCCCTTGGGGTTCCCTCACATCTACACTGCAGAGAAAAACCAAATGCAGCATTTTCCGTTATGAAACACAAGCCTCCAGAGCATCTTCTTGGCAACTGCAACTTACAAACCCCTGCCCATGACACAGAAAGTGATTCCAATACAAAGGCCCATGTGTTCTTTTCGATGCAAAAATGGGGATGACCTTTTGCATAATTACCAGTGCTTTAAAGCTAAGCCACCACCATGGTTTTCTTCTGTGAAGGGGGAGGTGGACTCTTATGGGATGATGGGGTTGGGGGCCTGGAGGCTGGGACGGGCTTGGGGTGGGGGTGGGGTGCAACTGCCAGGTGCTGTGTGCATCTAATTTGGAAGGGAAGGTGGCACTGATGTGGTGGGTTACGTATTTGATACGAGGTGGTGCCAATGTGTCCTTCTGAAATTCTGGCTTCACAGGTGACTCCCCTGTTTGGAACCCCCTAAGCCGGTGATGAAGATTTGCATGAAAGCCATGGACAGATACTCGGTGTTCTAAATCAAAAATCAAAAGATCAAAACGTCATTTGCACGACTATTGCTTTCCATGCAGAACCAGATACACACTGTAGAACACACTGACTACAATGCAGGCTATTATGCAATATCCGCATTAGTTCCGTGGAGCTGCGAGTATGGTACTAGGTTTCAATCAGACATCAGTTAACATTTTGGTGATATTCACATAGTTTGTATTAGCCAAAGTGCAGTTGGCCGTTTTCAAGTTTTCCTCTCTAAAGTCCTCGTTACTGTTGTTAACCCCCTCCTGGATCTCCATGTAATCGGACTTACTAATGGTAGAGGCACTTCTACTTTTCTTTAGGTCAGGGGAGGATGGGATCTTTGGACAGCTCGTCACTTGCAGGTACTGGGCCTGCTCCTCTCCCTCTGTTTCCCGGTGGTAGAAGTAGTTGAAGTTGGACACTATGACGGGGACCGGTAAGGCAATGGTTAAGACACCTGCAATCGCGCACAGGGAACCCACGATCTTTCCCCCGATGGTAGTTGGAACCATGTCTCCATAGCCTACAGTTGTCATGGAGACGACTGCCCACCAGAAGGCATCCGGGATGCTAGGGAACTGGGACTCCCGCTCATCGGCCTCTGCGAAATAGACAGCACTAGAGAAAAGGATGACCCCGATGAAGAGGAAGAAGATCAGGAGGCCCAATTCTCGCATGCTGGCTTTGAGGGTCTGACCTAGAATCTGGAGACCTTTGGAGTGTCTAGACAACTTGAAAATCCTAAAGACTCTTACCAACCGGATGACACGGAGGATGGCCAGCGACATGGCCTGCTGGCCCTGCTGGGCATCCTCTGGCTTCTCAGCCAGCTCTGTCCCCAGGGTGATGAAGTAGGGGATGATGGCCACAATGTCGATAATGTTCATGATGTTGGTGAAGAAGCCAGCTTTGCTGGGACAGGCAAAGAACCTCACCAAGAACTCAAAGGAGAACCAGATGATGCAGAGGGTCTCCACGATGAAGAAAGGGTCAGTGAAGGAAGTCGACTGCTGGTACCCGATGGTGCTGTTGGAATAGGTGTGGAAGGTCACCCCGCTGCCATGCATGTCCTCGTTCTCATCCCGGAATATGGGCAGTGTTTCCAGGCAGAAGCTGACGATCGAGATCAGGATCACCATGACAGACACAATAGCTATAATCCTGGCAGGCCCTGAGCTCTCCGGGTATTCAAAGAGGAGCCACACCTGCCTCTGAAACTCATTTTCGGGCAGAGGACGCTCCTCCTCTTTGATGTAGCCTTCGTCTTCCCGAAACATCTCCATCGCTTCCTCTCCCAGCTCGTAAAACCGAATCTCCTCAGAGAATATATCTAACGGCACGTTCACAGGTCGCCTCAGCCGGCCCCCAGACTGGTAATAGTACAAGATGGCATCAAAGCTGGGGCGGTTCCGATCGAAAAAGTACTCGTTTCGGAGGGGGTCAAAGTATCGCATCCGCTTCTTTGGGTCCCCTAAGAGGGTCTCTGGAAACTGGGCTAAGGTCTTCAGCTGGGTCTCGAACCGCAGTCCCGAGATGTTGATCACCACCCTCTCACAGCACTCGTGGTCTGCCTCTGGGTCATAGGTGTCCTGTGGGTGCCCAGGGAGGGCAGCAGCCTCGTCCGCTGGCTCTCCGGTGGCCACTGTCATAATTGGGGCTGAGAGAAGGGCGTCACACTATGCCTTCCAGCTGCCTGGCGGCAGGGAGCTCAGGGTGCTGCCTATGGTCCCCGGAAAGGCAGAAGCATCGGCCTGGGTTCCTGCGGGAGAGCCCCGAGGGCTCTCTGAGAGCCGGAGAGAGAGACAGCCTTGCTTGGCTGAAAGACAGAGGCAGTTAAGGACATGAGACTACTGAGCACCAGCAGCCTGACCTCAGTTGCCACTCCTGGTCGCCTATATCTCAGCCAAGAGTTCAGAAATATCGCCACCACCAAGCAGAACTTACTTTTACCTTACAACCTGGCTGGGAAATCGGAGGAAAGCAGGTGGCAATCTCTCAAGAAAGCTCCGGATTGCCCTGCACTGGAGGAAGGTGGCTGGTACAGGCCCCCTCTGCACGGTACAGGCTTCATGGGGCACAACCCCCATAGCAGAGGCTGGAAGGGAGCCCTCTCCCAGGCACTGAACCCGTCTTGCAGATACCTGCACTCTGGGAGCTATCCACAGTGGTGCATCTTGGGCCTGGGTCTCCCTCATCGCCCCCACTCCAATGACTACACATGGCTGTTATTAAATAATAGATTGATTTACCTGGCAAGGCAGGAACCCGAAGCTCTCTTCCTCGCAGAGCTGATCAGATACTGTGGGAATCCTAGATACACAAATAGGCAGCCCGGCTGCCCATCACGCCTTCTCACTTGAGCGAGAAATAATGGTGAGTCATTCTGGGCAGGAGAGCAGGCTCCAGGTCCTGGAGGTGAGCTCCAGAACTGGGCTGGCCTGGAGGGGCAGTGGAGGGCCTGGCCAGGGGCCACACAGGACTCCAGGGCAGCCGAACTTGGGTCTGGAGCCTTTGGAAGGAAGGAGGCAAGATGCAAAGTTCAGCAAAAGCCGGAGTCCTCCTGGCTGTCCTCAGGAGGTGTGACGCTGCCTGGAAAAAACAGCAGAAAGGTGGAACCGGGGCTCTGGGGTAGCTGGTGCCAAGTATTAGGAGGGCTCTGGCGGCTTTGCCTTCCATGCCCGCCTTCCATGCTGGTGTCACACCTGAGAGCTACCCCACAGCCTCCCAGCCTCCTTGGGGCCGGCTTCCATCAGCTGGGAGCCTTTCCTCCCAGGGAAGAAGCCTTCAGGCTCGGCTGGGCCTGCCTCCTCTAGGGGCCTCCCGGGGCAGAGCCACAGATCTCCCTTGGTCCTCAGCAGCCAGCAGGGCGGACTCTGGGCAAAGCCCTCCAGCCCCTAGGTCAGAACACAGCATCTCCCAAGGGGAAGAATTCCTCCACTGCAGCCTGACCATAAGCTCTGACCTCGGCAGGGTCCTGGAGGAGACAGAACCCCTCCCCCTCCCTTCCCCAACACGCACTCCTTCAAAGCCCATCTAGGGAGATTCCTCACACGGAAAGGTCGATTCTACAAAAGCTGGCTGGCTTGGTTCCAGGACTTACTCTCCCTCGGGGATCCCTAGGCTGTAGGCTTCCCTCTGAGCAGGGTGGCATTTGATCTGGGCAGGCGCTCGACCACCGATTTCTCCCCAAGAGAAAATCCCTCACATCTCAGCAGGGAGCGCAGACCGAACGCTCGCCCAGACCTGCTGCGAGGCGGCTTGGCAGCCGCGAGAGGGAGAGCCCGGAGGAAGCCGGCTTCCGGGCTGGCCCCCTGCCGGCCCAATCCCGCCGGCCCCAGGGCGGGGAGAGGTCTGAGCCCTCTCCCCAGCGCCCCGACTCCGGCCGGGATTCCGCCAGGCGCGCTCCGCGCTCGGTTCCGCGCCTGCGGACCCGACCCACCAGCTAGCGGCCGCGGGGAGCGCCGCCTTAACCCCTTCCTGCCCGGCCCCTGCGGGCCCGAGCGCAGCCCGGCTCTCTCGCCCCTGGGGGTCCATCTCCACCTGAAAACAAGGGAGCCCGAACTCTGGGGGTGGGGTGGGGAGTAGGGTGCTGCCCCAGATCTCCTCTTCCTCCTAAGCGCGGGGGCTCCGCCGCAGCGCACGGCCCCGGGAAAGCGGCGCAGCCTTGCCCCGCCGCAAAGCCGTTTTGATTTGGAGCCGGAGAGGGGAATGCAGGCCGGAGCCCCGAGTGGTTCGGGTTCTACCAACCAGCGCTATAGAACAGACCCGGTTCCGCTGTCGGCCGCACTTCCCATCACCCGCCCGCGCCGTGCGCAGCCCAAGGGTCCCGAGCCCATCGCGTGCCCTCTCCTTCCTCAAGGCGCCAGCCCCCCACCGCCCCTCGCCCGGGCCGGACTCAGCCGGAGGCTGCCGCGCTGCAGGCTGCGCCGCCGGGTGCCCCGCAGCCCCTCTGCGCGCCACAGCCCGGGCAGGGGAAGCGGCACGCGCAGCCCAACGCCCCGACAGCGATTTACCCTTCCCGCTGGGCACCCGGGGCCTCCATGTTCCTGGGTGACCGCGAGCGCCGTGGAGCGGCGGCTGCGGGGTGCGGGGTGCGGGCGGCGGTGGGGTGCGGGCGGCCAGCCGGGAGCCGGCTCTGCAGTCCCGCGGGCGGCGCGTACAGAGCGCCCGGCCGCCGCCCGCAGCCGCACCGCGCCGCACCGCGCCACGCAGCGCCGCACCTGGCCCGGCTGCGAACTCGAATTAAAGGAGCCGGAGGGGGCCAGAGCCGAGCAGGTGGCCGCTGAGTTGGCCGCCACCCCCAACCCCTCCGCCCCGGCCTCGGCCCCCCACCCTGCGAGGAAAACACCCAGGCTTTGGCAGAACCCAGCTTACGAACCAGAACCTCGTGGAGAGCTGGGCTGGGTGCCGCCGGGGCCGGGGAACCGGGGACATAAGTTGAGGGGCGGTCGGGAGAGACTCCTGCCGACAGAATGAAGTCGGCCAGGAGAAAACAATCGATAGCAGTTATCCCAGGTCCGAGGAGGGATCCAGCCCCGCGGGAGATGTGTTGCTATTATTACGATGCTGCCAGACAGAATCTGCAGACCCCCTCTCGCGCCGGCTCGCCCCCTCCTCCAGCTCTGCCTCCCCACCTCCCTCTTACCCCGCCAGAGCTTTGGCTTCGCAAGGGAATGCAGCAGGTATGGGCCGCAGTGTGGCTGAAACTCGCTGGGTTGGTTTCCTGCCAAGGAGCCCCAGGAGCGGGCAGAACTGCAGAGCAGGCCCCGCAGGCGCCCTCCCCTTCAGGGTAGGGCAGGGAAGGCTCTGGGCCGTGGTGCTGCCGGAGGGAAAGGCCGGCCACTCGCAAAAAGGGTCTCCTCACAGACCTTAACAGAGCCGCTGGCCCACGGAGCTCTGAAAATGGGAGTGCAGCTCCCGGCGCCCTGGCACCCTGGGGTGTGGGCAGAGGAGGACGGTCTTTGATTTTTGGAAGTAAGAGTACAGAAGCCCAGCCTACCCAATGCTCAGATGGTGGATGTGAGAGGGTCCAGGGTGCTCTTGGGAAGCACTTGACCACATCACAGCCCCATGCCCCTGGGAGTTCTGGCCTCTGGGTCTCTGTCAGAATCATGATTCCAACAGTGATTCCTTGAGCCTAGATTGGAGCAGACCTGGAACCTTAGATACAAAGGGGTTCCAGTCCCAGGGAGGCTCCTGCTGGGCCCTCCTTGCTGAGAACCTTCCCTAGGGCTGTAGCTTGTGATGGAAGTTCTGACAGCTTCCTGCCTTTTGTCAGGGTGGTCTACAAGGTATGGTTTAAGACTGGGGGCCTACCCAGAGCTGCAGGGCATGGTCTGGGAGGGAAGTGACCTTAGTGAGCTCTGGGGATGACACATGACTATAAAGCAGGACTAGTTTGGCCGAGGGCTTCTAGAACTCTGGCCATCACTGTCCCAGCCTGAACGTGACCTGGGTGTTTTGAAGCCAGCCAGGCCGGGTCCTAACTCCACGTCGGGTAGCTGGTGAATCATTCAGCTCTCTGGACTTCGGTGCTCTCCTCTGCAAAATGAGGATACCTCACCAGCTGTTGTGAGGGTTAAGTTGCTTATGTAAAGAGTTTTGCCCCCAACAGACACTCCACGAATGACTGTTTCTCCACTCTCTGCTTCTCTGTGAAACTCACCATTAACTCCCAGCCTGTGGCTTGGCTTGTGGTTATTTGTCTAAGTTCCTGCTCCCCAGCTTTTGCTGGCCCATCTCTGCCTCCCAGTGTGCCCCACTCCTCACTTCCTCTGAGATTTCAGCCACTCCCACCTCCTTCAGCAAACTGTCCACTGGTCCCCGCTCCCCAGTCCTTCTGGCTGTCTCCCCTGACCAGTCCTGCCAGGCTCTGATTCTCCTTCTGGCTCCAAGCGGTCCTCATGTCAATTTCAATTGACGCACATCCACACGCAACACACATCCATTTGACCACCTGTATATATTTTCTTTGCCTTTGTTCAAACAAAGGCCTTGGACAGAAAGGCTCTTGAGGGAGAATTAATAATTGTGCTAATTGGTAACATGTGCCCGCCATGTGGCAGACACTGTGCTAAGCACCTCTCGCTCCGCGGGAGGCTTAGTCCTCACAGCTTCGTGAGCTAGTGTCTCCACCGGTGCCATTTCCGGGGGAAGAACACCGAGGCAGAGAGAGGTGTCCCTGCCCGGCGCCCCTAAGGGGTGGCTCTGGGACTTGAATCAGGTGTCTGTGACTCTAGAGCAGACGTCCTTAGCCCCCATGCCGCGCTGCTCAGGTACTGGGAGCAGCCCCAGAATTTCACTTCCCTCTTTGGGATCTTCCTCTGAACCCTGTCCCATCTGATTGGGCTCAGGGGTACGTCATCCTATTTCCCCCTTTTTAAAGCCTTATCTAGGTGTGAACGACAACCAAAAAGAAATAAAGAAGGGAAGAAAGAAAAAGAAACATCATAATACCAGTTGTGCCAGGGAGCATGGGTTGTGGCTCCTGCCCCAGGCGGTCTCTCTGGGTTTGGTGGGGCTGCAGGAGAACAAGAACGTGGACGCACTTCCTCCCTCTGACACTTGCTAGCTGTACAAACTTGAGCACATTATTTCAACTGCTCTGAGCCTCAGTTTCTCATTCAGTGGGCAGGACAGCAGAACGGCTCACATGGTGGGCAGGATGCACTGAGGTGTAGGGGACAGCCAGCTGGCTTAACCTAGCTGCTCGATCACTGTTCGCTCTCTTCCCAGCCCCACAGAGGCCCCCATTTCTTTTCTGGGCCACAAAAGGACAGTGGGAGTGCCCCTTGATCCCTCCCTGGGGCCGGCCAGACCCCAAGGAGCACTCCTTTATCCTCAGTCGCGTTTCCTGCTTGGGGGCCATGCCTTGTCTTCAGCAGAGGGAAATACTGGTGACCTGCCAGTGACCTGAAGTTGTCAGTTCCTGCACTCTGCACTACAGTCACTGAAAGGAGGAGTTTATGACAGGGCACGCCCATGCCCCCCACCCCATAACACACACACCGCGGCTCTGCGGGTACAGAGAGAGGGCCTCTTTGTCTTTCCCACCACGATTCATGATGGTAGAAGATAGGAGCACCCTTCTCAGGTGTCACTTTCAGAGAGGCGGTTCCCCTTCCTTGCATGACTGTCACCTCTGCGGAGGCTTGGTCCCCTCACCGCACCCCCTGGGGCCCACTGTGGTGGCACAGCCCCCTGGAGCCCCCAGGAAGCGGGCCAGGGAAGCAGGGAATGTGGGCCCCGGTGCCCGGCTGACAGCTGTCCGCAGGTTGTTTGATTGATTCCTTGGCACCACCTAGGGGGAAAGATGCCATTAGCTCTATTCTATAGATGAAGATACTCAGAGAGGACAAGTCGCTGTCCAGGGCAATTTAGCTGCTAAGTGGCGAGGCTGGAATGGAACCCCAGATGTCTGACTCCACAAATCACATTTCACTCTGCTGCCCACTTCGACCATTAGCCTGGTGCCAGGCCTCTGGGCTCACTTCCTGGTCTTAGGGGCAGGGATGCCGTCCAGCAGAACTTCTAGATCCTCAGGGCATATCCATACATTCTGTAGAGATTGCCCAGCCTGCCAGGAGGTCTGTTTTGGAAGCCTGATCGTGGGGTCAAGGCAGTGGTGCAAGATTCAGGACCCAAAGTTTCCCCTCTGTGCTTTTGCCTGAAGCAGCTTTACTGATGGCCACCACATCTGCAGTGTCCAGGGCTAAGTGTCCCTTACCCTGGGGCTTTAGTTTTAGCACGCAGAGCTGTGTGACCCGCAGTCACTCGTTTGACCTTTCTGTGCTGTGGTTTACTTGTAAGATAGGAAAGGTAGCATTTGTCCCTTGTGCCCCTTGCTATATTGGGTTTAAAGAGAGTGGAAGAAGGGGCGCCTGGGTGGCTTAGTCGGTTAAGCGTCCGACTTTCGCTTAGGTCATGATCTCGCGGTTCGTGGGTTCGAGCCCCGCGTCGGGCTCTGTGCTAACTGCCAGCTCAGAGCCTGGAGCCTGTTTCAGTCTGTGACTCCCTCTCTCTCTGACCCTCCCCTGCTCACGCTGTCTCTCTCTCTCTCTCCTAGAAATAAATAAAACATTTAAAAAAAAAATAAAGAGAGTGGAAGGAAGGAGGGCAAGAAGGAAGGAAACTAACATTCATTTTTAGTGTGTGTTAAAATCTCACTTGTTAGCATCAGAGGAGAAGGGAAGTAAATGTGCATGGAAAAGCAGGAAGCCTGGCCAGTGTGGAAGAGTATGCTGCTGTCATGATTGTGCCCTGCCCGTGTGCATCATGTGTGACGTCCGAGGACTTCCCCTGGAAGTCGAAGGAGCATTGTTCCAGCGCCCTACTTACCTAAGGGCTACCTCCTGCAGGAAGCCTTCAGAGATTAACTCCCCGCTGTCTCCAAGGAACTCCTGTGTGGAGGCCTGGGCCTTGGCTCCTGTACTGCAAATTCTGGCCTCATGAAAGAGTATATTAAGGAATGGTTGAAGGGGGCGGAACTTCCCTCCCCTGTTGGGGCCACTCCTCTGGGTTAGGAGCCATGCTGGTGGTCTCACCCTCTCGTCCCTGCCGTTAACTCCCAAAGGCAGAATGGCGTCAAGCTGGAAGTACACCGGCTGGTGCCAGCAGGTGTCCCGGGCCCGCCATGGTTTGTCTCTGGGACTCAGCGTCTCACCTGTCAACTTTTATTGTGCGGCGGGGCCGTAGAGCGGTGAGAACGGGCCTGTCCTGGAGCACACACAATGTGATACTTTTGGCAAACTGCCCTCAGCACTGCTATCAACTTTTCCCTCTCTGTTTGGAAAAGAAGTGGGGGAGGTTTATGGGGGGCCGTGACAGGGATGCCTTGGGGATTCCAAACCGCAGCGCCTGAACCACTGTAATTTCAGCTGCCTGTGGAGCTATTTAAAAAAAAAATTTTTTTTTTTAATTTTTAATTTTTTATTTATTTCTAGGAGAGAAAGAGAGAGACAGCATGAGCAGGGGAGAGTCAGAGAGAGAGAGGGAGTCACAGACTCTGAAACAGGCTCCAGGCTCTGAGCTGGCAGTCAGCACAGAGCCCGATGCGGGGCTCGAACCCATGAACCGCGGGATCATGACCTAAGCGAAAG